CCTGCTTAAAAATAACATAGGTGCTTACATAGAATGGTTAGTTAATGAACTAATGATGACTGCTAATAAAACTTGAATATAAGGATACACTATTAGTAATGCTTTCTATAAATAAAATAAACCAGCAAGCCAAATAAGTCTTACATATTCTTAGAGTCTTTTATTTTCCTCCTGTCGGGTAAGTCTTGCTGAGTACAATCGAGTACTCAGGATTTCATTCCCCCTGTTGCAGGTGACGGGTGGATGCTAGAGCTGATTTTTATGTGTGGAAACCTTCTGATGGGCTCAAAAATTATTCCTTTCACGCTGCGATCGTAGTGTTTATTTATAACCCTCACTAAAGATTTTTATAAGAAAAAAATGTAAAATCTGCTAGTATCTCTTGTATATAAATGTCAACTATGTTAATACTTTACCGTGTCATTAAATTAATTTTTGTTTCTGTTGTAACTCTGATCATATGTTATTTTTCGTTGTAAGATAAAACTTGTGAACTCGAAATGTATAGACTCTTTTACGTGTAAACTGTTTTAATTCCGTTGTTGCATTCAACTTGTGTAATACTCTAATGTTGTAATAAAGTGATGTAAGAAATTGTTAAGAATGTTGTAAGCTTTATTCTCTCATTTATGATCTGGACGGAAAAATATGGACTTTCGAGTTCTCCCTTGGGTGTGTTCGATGGGACGGCACGTTTTAGTGCACTCTCTTGGGTACTTAGTATCTAATGGAAGACAAGTACTCTTAGGAGGACATTAGATTAGGCGGTTCTGCCACAGTCGACGCGGAGCTCGATACCGGCACAAAGCTCGATGCCAAGGAGGTTGCTAGTGCACACCTCATCGGCGACGTGAATCTCAACGGCGCAGAGCTCGTCGACAACATGCAGCTCACCAGCGGTAGCGCGCGCAGAGCTCAGCGACGACGCGTAGATGTTGGCGACGCAGAGCTCGGCAGCAGCGCGCGCTGAGCTCAGCGGGGCGGTTGAGGCCGGCGAAGAGGCATGCGAGCTGCGGCGGGGGTGAGGAAGCCGACGGGGTGGTCGGTTTGGACGGAGGTTGCACGGAGGAGGGCGCTCGGAGGCACCGGAGCTAGCGGCGGCTGTGGAAGCTGGGCGGGCGGCCATGGCGCTCAGTGCCTGCGCTCTCGAGCAGAGCGAGAGGGAGAGGAGCGAGGGAGAGCAAATGGGAGACGGAGAGAGGACGCCGACTCGGTCTCCACAGTTGCGCGACCCCGAGGCGACGAGTGGTGGAACGAATGGAGCATGGTGGCCATGTGTCGGGCGTGTTCTGTCCTTCCTGTTCTTGTTGCTTTGAATGGAGAGACAGAGGAGAGAGACGAGATGGAACCGGAAAGGATATTTATGTGGTGGGTAAAATATGTGGACTCCATGAGGCCACGTAGCGTCCGCCGTCTGGATACGGGACGGACGCCCACAATGGAGCATTATCGAAGTTGAAAGGTTTATTTCTTTGAAATAGAATTTCGAAGATTCATTGCCCGAACTGCGTCACTATGTAAAAGTACGTGTGCCTTTAGAAGTTGACTATAGTTTAGTTGGTTAGATTTTGTATGATAAGACCTAGCCATATGGATTTAAGCGTTTAATTTAGCACGAATGCTCATATTTATGCCTAATATTAGTATTTCAGTGATAGACAATGTGTCTATTAATGACGAGAGTTTGTGATGATTTCATCCATTTTAAGATTTACCAATTCAATCTTTTAAAGTCCTATACATGTAAGTGTGAGTAACTTTCACTCCATTTCCTGAATATATGTGAGCTGTTATCAGTTTGGTGATAGTCTAAGATGCCGTGGCGTAATGGTAGTGGTTACTCCTATATATTATATTGTTTGAATCACTGGACTAAACTCCTAGGCCATCTAAATAGATAGAGATGAAAACAAATGGAAACGGGCGGAAAATATCCTCGTTCATTTCTGTTTTCATAATATTTCACCGAGAGCGGGAGTAGGATAGTCAGGAGAGGTAGCGGTAGCAGGATATACAGTTATACGAAAATGGTATACGGTAAAAAAAAAATAGACACAAACAGACCGTAAGTGAGAACTTAAGCTGAATTATGCCGCATGGCATGAGCTAAATTGATGGTGTACCATATGGTGCACCTCATAGAGTCACAACTCAGTATGACATACTACACCTCGTAATTCATGTATTACAATACTACAATACACAATTCAACATTACACATACATCAACAAAGGGAACGGCCATGGACCGTATCCATCGTCGTGGTGTGAGTGGAGGTAGCGACACACCGACTCAACCGCGTCTGCTCAAGAATCAGCGACAACACCACCCATCCATCATACGCCACAGCTCGCAACAGCACATGATAGGTTGCAGCTACGCTGCTTACGATGGTGAGAGGTGCCGAGATGACCAAGGACTAGCGAAGCTATGGATACAATCCAATGCAGTGAAGTGCGGCGGCAGTAGTGCGTGAAGAGAAGCGGCGACTAAGGGTTGAGAGCGCGAGTCCTGAGGGAGGGAGTTTGCTAACCAAGCATTGTGAGATGAAAACGGGAATATCCCCATCAAAAACAAGATACCGAGAACAATGGCAGGATAACCTCAAATCCTCAACTGTTTTCGGTCTTGGTCTCGGCGCATCCCCTCTCGTTTCATGTCCAGTTAGTGTATTTTCTCCAAAAAAAAAACAGGGATGAAAGCGGTAAATGGTACAAGATTGATCCCGTCCGTTTCATCCTATAAACGGGTGGACTAAAAGATGAACTAATTTCCAGTCCAACTCAACTAGTTGTTAGTCTCTCTGACTAGTCTATGTATCTGAATAAAATATGACTAAATTTTAATGGGATTGACAACTTTTTTTAATAATGAATAAAATCTAGTTTCATCCCTTGTAACCAACTAACCAAGGGAATCAAACCAATTATTACAAACGTTTGACAAAACAGAAAGTTGACCCAACTTAAGAATCAATCCTAACATTAAAAGGCCATCCGAAAGAAGCAAAGAATTTTAAGGGCGCGTTCGCTGGTCTGGATGGTCCAGACAAGCCGGCCGACTCCCCTCACAAAACACTGTTCATCAACCAGCCGCTACAGTGTTTCTCTCTCACAAAACCAGCCAGTTTCATTCAAGTTTCAGACCAGCGAAAGGGGCCTAAAGCCTCGTTCGGCACACATGGATGATGCCCTCTTTGTTTCTTCACACCGTTCCACCTGTGCCCAATGACGTAACCAATGTATTCCCCTAGATAAAACATGTAAAAAAGTTTTAGGTTTGCATGTATCAAAAACAATTTTATTCCTTGTAAGCCATATTGGCCAGCAAATAGCAGCACCTCCTATTAACAAAAGAGAATAAATCTAACAACTAATTTAGGTGATCAGACATGCCCTTAACTGTTCAACAAACCATATATTATGACCTTGTTTGGATTCATAAAGCTAATAGTTAGTTGCTAATAATTAACTTTTGGATCCAAAAGTCTAGTCAATAGTTTAGCTAATTGTTAGCTGCTAATAATTAGCTCTTTGGATCCAAAAGTGTAGCGTAATACTCAACTAACAACTAGTACTTTACTAATATTAGATATGAACTATTAGCTAGATAATTATTAGTAGCTAATAGGTCCAAACATGGTATATATGTTTATACAAGTGTCATGTACTCGGCTCGTTTAGTCACACCCGAACGCAAAGGAAAAAGAGTGGAAAACTAAGGGTCAGTTTGGAAACTCTAATCCTTTAGGGATCATTGACTTTTTCCAGGATGAGCAAGCTATAGGAATGTTATTTGAATAAGATATTATTTATGGGAGGTTTTTTCTCCTTCAGTTTGGCTCCGCTCCCAAATTATGGATCCGTCATCCCTATACGGAGTGGCCACCGATAGCAACCTGTCGGCGGTGGTCAACTGGTCATCGTCCCCGTCAGGCTCCACGGGCTGTACGGGGACTGCGGCGTATGACGAACGGAAATGTTTATCCGTAACCGAAAGCATCTGGACAGCGATTCCTCGCGAACGTGCCCTTAGCCGCGTGTTTGGACAGCGATTCTATCGGGGCCGTCGAAGCTGATATTATTTCACTCATCGCCGTCGGGGCCACCTCCTCTCGGTCCTTGCCTGTCGTCAGTCTCATCTCCAAGTGGACACAGGACCTGCAGGCTGCAGCCAAATTTGGGCCATGTTCGCTTGAACTTATCAGCCATGTCTCACACCAAATCAGCGAAGAAAGATTTTCAAACCAAATTTTCGCCCATCGCCAAGTCGTTTTACATCTTCATCAGTCTGGAGGATCATCATCAGTCTCAATCCATTTGTCCGTCATGGCTATCTGCCTTCATCGGCCATCTCTACCTGAGCACAGCACCCGCAACCGACACAAAGGTGCAATCCTCTTATTTTTGTGCCAAACAACGGCAGCTGCAAGCCTACTACAATCAGGCCCTCACAAGCAGGGGTGCAGGAGATGCACCCCAACACCATTCCATGCATGGCACAAACTGCACTGTACTTGAAAGTATCCTGCCTGAACAGCTGAGCAGTCACATTGCTATGACTGTATAATAAAGCAACATATGGTATGAGTATGACATCAGAAACTGAGGGCTATATACCAAGCAGATGGCTAAAACATGCAGCAAGGTTTGGACTATGGAGGTCATCGGCCAATCCTACTGGAACGGTTTCAGCTATAGCAATGCTCAATGTTTTTCACCTCAGGAGTACACTCACACACGCCTTTATCATACAAAATCATCCCCTCGCATAAATACGACCCCAAGAAAACCAACGGAAAAAATCGCTATGGCTAACATATTGATCCAACAATGTACAGATACTGTCACGACGATCGACACAGGTGCTTGCAGAGTTTGCATGCCTGACCAACCAACCAACCGATGAGACTGCAGTCGAGCTTTTCTGTCCCTACGCGATATCCAGCTTCTATATATCAGGCACAGACTCGTAGCAATCACCGTTTTCCTGATAGCTAGCTAGTCTTCCTGATTTCTCCAGTTGAAAGGTTCTCCCTTCGGTGCATCCTTTGGAGTGTTGTTTCCACTACTATCACCAGGTTCACTTGCAGGTGTTTCCACTGATCTTGCTTGAATTGGAGCTTTGCCACCCCGACGCTCCTGGGAAGGGCAGCACAATGTTAGCAATCTAAGTCTGTGCAATTTGGAAAAATATTACTCTTTTCATGATCGTTGAAATTGTTTGAAGAAAGAACAAGTTGGCACAGCTCTTGCAGGCTTTGAAGGGGAAGGCACACATAACTTAAAGCAAAAACGACCAGGCATACCAGATTGATATCTAAACTCATATGCTGTGAGAACAAATAAAAAAATGAAGAATGGAGGGCAGCCCCCCAATTAACCTACAAAGGATTAGTGAGAGCACAGTCCTCTAGCGAGTTGCCCCATGAGAGTCATGGAATTGTGATAACAATAAGTGCAACCAATTCAGTGCATATCGTATAGTGACCTGTACGGATACTTGACTATAACAAGTAAATAAAGGTGTTACCCAGCAAATCCAAATGTAAACAATGAGCGCAAACAAAGTGTTTATCATGGTGACCTTCTTGCTTCAGAATTGGCGGACAATAAGATTTACGGGCAACAAAATCAACACAATATTAACATACTAAAACAATGGGTACTCAAAAATAAGTTCAAAAATATGCACATTCCATCTTAACTTACATCTCTGTACGGAAAATCATCAACTTCAAGCATGTGGATGACATGCCCAATCTTTGGCCTCTTGCGAGCTTCAGGATCTACGCACCGCAGAGCCACTAGCAAAGCCTTCTTCAATGCCCTAGAAGTAGGCTTCTCAGTCATCTTAGGATCCAAAACCCCTTCAGAGTTTCTGTTGCTGACCATCGTCTTCAGCCACTCAACAAGATTAATCTGAAAAGATTGCTCCACAAAGTTCATATGTGCACTTCTCAAGTTCATTATTTGCGTATGCAAGGAGGTACCACCATTACTAACCTCCCCTGGCGGCCTGTTGTAATCAACAGGTACGCGGCCAGATATTATTTCCATGATCAGAATTCCAAAACTATAGACATCGCTAGTTTCATTCAACATGCCAGTGCCCGCATACTCTGGCGCAACATACCTGCAAGCAATTAAATAAAAAATAAGCCACTGCATTCTTGCTTATCTTGTGTGATCCTAATCTTATAAGTAGTGTTGATGTCTAACCCAAATGTCCCCATGACCCTGGTTGTGACATAACTCCTCTCAGAACCCAAAAGTTTCGCTAGCCCAAAATCAGAAAGCTTTGCATTCCAATGCTTGTCAAGAAGAATATTGCTCGACTTGACATCACGGTGAACCACCTTTGGCTCAAGTCCCTCATGCAAATACATTAACCTGCACAATTATGTAAAATAATGTAAGCAGACAGTGACAGCCAAAAAAATTATGGACCACAGTAAAAGTCAAAAGGTGCATACCCTTTTGCTGTTCCCAGAATAATCTTCATTCTTATATCCCATGTAAGAGGGCTCACAGGACCAACATCACCATGGAGCCATTGCTCCAAGTTTCCATTATTAACATACTCATACACAAGCATCCTGGAAAAGAACCATATACAATGAATTTTATGATAAAACTGCAAACTCCTTGGTTCTACAATTTCACAATATAAACTAAAGCTATTGTCCATACAAGAAGATACCTTTGGTTGCCTTCAGCGCAATATCCTAACAACCGCACAAGGTTCTTGTGTCGCACCCGACCGATAGCTTCCACCTCAACCTTGAATTCACGCTCTGCCTGCCCCCTGATAGAACATAGCATCAAAGTTGATCAAATTCAGCAGCACAAAAACCACTAATTGAAATATACATTTCATCATCTATATTATATATATGGCAGACTACACTATTAAGCATGAACCCTACAAAACAAAACTTAGTTGGATATTTTCTAGTATCGAGTTCTTGCACAGAGTGTCACCATCTGAATTGTCACATCTCCATTGACAATTCGTATACATCTTGCTTAGACTATAATCAACATTTTGCAAAGGAAAGACGATAGCCAATTGAACACACAAGCTTATAAATACGGCTATGCTTCGGTCCACAGGTAGCATCAGTACCTGTTGTTGAGCAAGTTTTTGACGGCGACCTGCACTCCACCCTCGAGCACGCCGTGGTACACTATGCCGTAGCCGCCCTCGCCGATCACCTTCTCGTCGGCGAACATGCACGTGGCGTCCTCGAGCTCCTTGAGCGTGTACCAGTGGCCCCACCCCAGGTGCGAGACCTCCGGGACCCCCGGTTCCCCGCCACCGCCACGGCTCTCCCCGCTGGCGCCCCGAGACGACGGGCCCCCGCTCCGCTGGTGGTGCGGGGGCGGCGGCTGCTCCGGGAACGTGATGCGGTGCTCCTTCCCCGTCTCGATCTGGATGGAGTCCGGCGGCGGCGCCTGCAGCACCTGGGCGAGCGGGGCCTTGGCCGGGGCGGCGGCGGGGGCCGCGGTGCCACGGGAGGGCACCTCCTGGATGTCCTTGGGGGGCTTGGCGGGGTGCTTGGGCTGGGCATTGGGCACGACGACGGGGAGGTGGAGGACGGGGGTGGCCGGGACGGCGCGGCGGCGGCGGCGGCGGCGGGAGGCGAGGAGGCAGAGCAGGGAGAGGAGGACGAGGAGGAGCACGAATGCGGCACCGACACCGACGCCGACGAGCTCCCAGAGGTGGAGGCCGAATACCAGCGTGCCCTGGGACAGCTCAGAGTCCGACATGGGCGGCGCCGCGCTGCTCAGCTCAGCTCCCCCGGCTGCTCAGGCCGAAACGAAATGGTGGATCTCCCTCCCAAGAACCCCCCCGCTCAGCAGAATTGGGCGCTACCAAAGAATGAAGAAAATTCCCAAGAAAAGAACCGCCAAGAACTGGGGTTTTGCAGGGAATTGGGGGCGCGAAGCCGGATTCATGCGGGGAACAACCAAGAATCTCTGGATTTCTGCAGGGGGCGGGCGCAGGCAGTGGGAAAGGTATGACTTTGCGGGGAGGGAGGGGATTTAGGACAGGATGGAGTGACGAAAATGGTGGATTTGGAGCTTGATTGGGCACGAAAAGGTTGGATTTGCGGGCAATGTAGGGGCTGAGACTGGATTATTTTGGGGGCGTGAGGAGCGACGAGCGAAGCGTGGTTAATTTAGCTAGCTCTGATGCAAAGCATGGATTTTGACGTGGAGGTGGAGGACTGGAGGAGGGTGGTGCCCGGTGGCGAGGTGTGTGGCTGGCCTGGGTGGCGGGGTGGTTGGTGGCGATCATTAGAGGCCAATCACAGCCCAAATCAACAAGAAATGCACACAAGGAAGCATGGACAGTACAAAAGTGACTGCTCAGAGAGAGTGAGAGTGTAGTGAGTAGAGTACGTACGATAGATAGATAGAAGGGAGCGAAAGGGCACTAGGGGAGAGAGATGAGACGGGGCGGGGAGAGCGGAGAACAGAACAGGGAGGACGGAGGAGTGGAGTGCAGGACCAGTGGGACTGGGAGGGAGAGGAGAGAGGATCACAAAACAGGAGCAGTGACAACCAGCCCGACAGGGTGTTTGCATAATTGTACAGTATTGGTGGCGACTTGGAATTGGGCGATAGAGAAGTCAATACCGGATCCCTAAACAAATGCACAACAGGATATTTTTTAGGTCGCAAACGCAAACAGTCTCGGTTTCAGACGCGAGCGGATCGAGTTCATGAGTTGCAACTTGCACACCCCGTTTTCAAGTTCAAGCGTGGGAATCTCAGGATCGGATGATTCCTGTTCGGCTGCGGCCACAGCCGACAGCCTACAATCGCTTTTGCTACAATAAATCTATGAGAGGAAAATGGCAGCCGTTTTTTCTACTCTCACAAAATTACTATATTAGTAAAAGCGGCGGTAGCAGCAGCCCAACAAACAGCGGGTTCGCTTTAACTTATGAGGCCGGCTTATTCCGTATGGTACAATATTTTTCTCTCATAATAAAACAGTATCAGCTAGTTTATCAATCGTAAAAATCATTAACCGAACAGCTTATATTGTATGTTTAAGACGAGGTTTAAAGTGAACTTGTGCTATTCCTAGATTTTTTAAGACGAAAGAAAAATTATGTTAAATTATAGCTGAGTACATCATCACGTTACAGGTACTTTGGAATACAATACGTATATCAAGAAACTGTTTTTCATCTACATTGTACCCACACCTCGTATAGCTCCAAATCTAAATCCCAAACCTGTACAACGATTCATATGGATGACCGAACTGATAAACACTTAGCAAAAGGCCTGAGAACATATGCCCCCAGGCGGAATTGAGCATAAACTTCTTCTTTCTCGTGCCTTTCTTCTTCTTCCTTCTGCCACCGAAGAATAAGGAAAACCAATCTGAATCTTCCCAACTCACTACCATTAATCGGCTTGAGGGATATATTTATTCTCACTAGTCCTTCATCGTGGTTAGATCTAACCACAACAAAACGAAGAAGAAACCGATGAAAATTATTCCATAACGGCGACATCATCTCCGTCTTGATGTTGCCGTCCAAAAACCTAAAATCTTCTTGTCGCCATGCCAAGGAAGTTGCTAACACAGCTGTTGTCCCCTCGTCTTTATCAAAGTCGCCATGGAGAAACCAAATCCATCTTATCTCTTCACCGTCGCCGGAAAGGAGGGAGAGGAGACAAATCATCAATACCAAATAATTTGGCACGGAAAGATCCTAACTCCAACATGACTGATCTACTGAAAAACTTATTAGAGAGGTGGATCCTCACTTCTTCCGGCCTCCGGCGAGTTGTCGAAGAAGAAAAGGAGGGGGCCGGCGGTGGTGGAGGCGGGGGGGCCTACGGCAGCGTCGACTACGCACTAGGGAAGGGTTTCATTTCACTGTTTGCAAGATTTGGATTGAGAAATGAAACTGGCTCTCTCAGTGGAGGGTTTCATTTCACTGTTTGCAACACAAACTGCAACAGTTAATGTATTCATGATGTTGTGATCCAATGTGCCATATAAACTATGTAGCCATTTGAAAATATATCTAAATTAAACCTAGTCACTTTGATAACTACAGTATACTGTATGCTGACAAATAAACATTGTAAAATAAAAAAATTAATTAATCCAATATTCATTAGTGTATATGCATACATTAAAAATGATTACCTATAATTCAACATATACGAAATCTTCGATGGAAAATATAGAAAGAATACGGAGAATTTTCCAGAGAAAGCCAAAGTAAGGCTTCACATGTGAAGAAAGCTCTCAGACTACAGTCATCGTTCACACTACACGCAAGCTACAAGTATCAAGTTCACACGTACATGCATCGGGTTCATTCATGTACGCGACGCAGGGGAGAAAATTTCATGCATGCAAGCCGAGCCGTCCCGTCAAGTACTGCTCATGTGCTTAGCAGCCATGTTCCCGTTGGGAACCATGAACAGGAACTTGAGATATCATTTCGTAACGTAGAAACAAGAACATTCGCGTTTCCGGAACGTAATGTTCCCGGAACGTAGAACATGAGAATAGGAACATAGACTATGTTCTCGTTCCTAGGCTGCTAAGCTCCTATCCCGTTACGTGCTACTCCAGATGCAAATCAGATACGTACGTGACCTGAAACCGTCACGCCGGAAAGGAGAAGACGCGCGCGAGACGCCGGAAAGGAGAAGACGTGCGCGCTGCGCAGGGGATCCACGCGGGTGCTAGGTATTGAAACTCGTCGCTCTCAGTGCAGGTTTTATGGCCTGGGTAACCGTGACAACTAAGTTTTATATTGATGAAATTCTTTTTCTCTCTCTCCTAATAAATATCTCGCCACATAAACGAATTTGCTGATGTGTTTAGCGTCCTATAAACGTTACCATGGTTGTCTGGGCGCGGTCCTGCTCGGAGGGCATGATCCAAACAGCCTATTTATACAGATTGGTATTGCTAATTATGTTGTTTATTAAAAAAAGTTGTATACACTAAATCTGCCGACGGATATTAAACCACATGCAGCCATTTATATTGGAGCTTGTGGTGGGTCCACTAAGACTCTATGAAGTCATGTTTATGGTTCTATTTGGATCTGCTAGGCCGCTTCAAATTAATTAAGGTTAGTCAGCTAGTTGACTAACAGCTAGTTGAAAACTTAAAAATTTAGCATATCTATTGCCCCCTATTTAGATGGAATAGAATTAATTTTAGCTAATTTTTATTACATAACAATTAGTGCTTCGTATGAAACACATCTAATACACATGCTATTTGTCACGTTATGAAAGTCTTCGATAATGGATACTCCGTCCATAAAAAAATACAATTATCGTATTTCGAGAAACAAAATGCTTTTAAGTTTAACCAAATCGGTAAAAAAATATCATTAGATTTTCATAAACTTTCATAATAAATCAATTTAAAGATATAAATGTGAATACTATTTACTGTAAATTTGGTCAAATCTAAACTACTTTAATAGGTACTATAGTTGCATTCTTTTGTGGGCGAATGAAGTATATAAAAGTAAACAAACAAAAGATATTTTTTGAGTAAAAAAATAAAAGATATTTTGATATAGAACATGGGTGCAATTGGAGAACGAACCGAAAACTCTGATATTCACGTGACCTTCGTGCCATGCAAGGGTTTTAGTTACATTCTAAAAAGTAAAATACATTGTTAGACCTACCGTGCACTTTGTCAAGATTGCTTAACCCTCTTACCCACACCCTGGCTTTCACGACGTGCGCCTTGTTTAGATGCCATCTAAATTCCAAGTTTTTTTACTTTCTCTCCATCACATCAATTTTTAGCCGCTTGTATAGAGTATTAAATGTATGTAAAAAAAACTAATTACACAGTTTAGTTGAAAATCACGAGATGAATCTTTTAAGCCTAGTTGGTTCACGATTGGACAATATTTATCAAATAAGACGAAAGTGATACTATTCATCGAGTTTACTTTTTTTTGCAAAATGAACGAGGCCGTGGAGAGCCTTTGTCAGAGAGGACGTGTTTGCTTTGAAACCTGAGCCAGGTAAGTCTATCAGGCACACGCATCTAGACCCAGGCGTATGAAATCCAACGCTTGGGCTTGATGCCTACTACATCGGACAGCGCTGGTTAGCCATAAAGGAAACATATCAAAATAATAGTAAGTCAGCAACAGATTATTATCATTGCCATCTCCACGTTTCTACGGGTAGACAACTGAGGAATGTGTAAAATGTTATTTAGATGTTGAAATGACTTATATGTTGCGGGATGCAATTTTTAGTATTTCAACCCTAGTTGCAATATGTGGTCTACCTTATAAGAGTGTTATAGAAGCTACCCCTCCGTCCTGTAATACAGTACATTCTAGCATTCAAAAATTATCATCAAATATAATGCATTCTAGAGGATAGAAGCCAGTTTTGCATTAATTACTTCCCATTTATCAATCAATCACCATTAATCACGTTGATAATAGCGGCTAATTAGGAAATAAAACGAAGGTATATGTGTCTTTTATGTTCTCTTTTAATATGTCTATTTTTTTTAAACATATACTGTATTACAAGACAAAGAGAGTATATGTAGCCTCAGTGGGTTTCCGAAGGAAATTCTTCTTTGCTGCCGTAGTATTTTGTGTACCGAGAGGATAGCATGGACCTAGCAAAACGTATATGGTTGGAAGTTGCTGTGGCGGCGACGCCATTGTTTTGGTTGCCAACCGCGACAGCACCTCAGCCACGTGATTCTCGTCCTCCAGGAAGCCTAA